AACTATCACTGACTCTACAGCATAATATGTACAAACGTTCATTGAACTGACTATCACTGACTCTACAACATAATATGTACAAACGTTCATTGAACTGACTATCACTGACTCTACAACATAACATGTACAAACGTTCACTAAACTGACTATCACTGACTCTACAACATAACATGTACAAACGTTCATTGAACTGACTATCACTGACTCTACAACATAACATATAAAACATTAATTTAACTGATTATCACTGACTCTAAAACTTCATATTATGAATTTTATATATCTAGCAAACTATAGTGTCTGTCCGAGCGTTCGTCCGTCTCCCGTTTCAAAAGCTGCGCGCGCAGGTAAAGATCAACATTCACTTTTGAAATGACAGGATAACAGACATGAATAATGTTGATGGCAAATTTTATTTCACAAGCAGGAGATTCTACACTAAATTATTAGTAATTAATCATACTATCATTCACATTTCAAAATGTGACGTAACTTAAAGAATAAAAATGTAGATTTACCGTATGTTATTAATGAGTGGCTCTTAACATGACTGAAATACTCAACAATCACTTATCACGGTAGGCAGTATAAGTAGCTTAGAGATTTAGCTATAAGTGAAACCAAGAGTGCAACACAATTAACTTTTTTAAAGTCCATAAAATAACTTAAATTGATAAATTAACTTAAACTTTTTCCGTCACTGGGGACGGGTATTTTTACTTGTATTTGAATTTTTCTTTTCACAACGAGCTGTCATTCGTCCAGTCGTAACGCTAACCCGACGGTATTGTCCAGTCGTCTGGTCAGAAGTTACTGCGAACGGCCATATAGGTACTAAATATATCGCCTGCTTGAACAAGGTTCGAACCTATGGTAAATATATTAGATAACTTCGGTAGTTCCTATAAAGTGATATAAATATATAATCCAGGTTCACGTTACATTACTCGAAGACTTGAAGTCTGTATTGAATAGTTATCCGACTTCCTGGAAGGTCTTTATTATTACTTAAATTTGGTCAGTCCTATTTGCGTATAAGATACTTGGCATCTGAAATGTTTGTTTCAGTTTCATCATCTTTTGCGTGGCGTGCTTCAAAGTGTTGATAACGATTCTCAGAACATATAATTTCTTTGTAGATTATGGTTTTGTAACGTTGCTGATTATGAATGGTTTTATCAATAGTAACCCTAAACCGTTTACACCTCACACTATGAAACACTCAGTGCTGACAAAAGTCTAATTCGGAGTTTTTGTTGCCAATGAACAAAATCACTATTCATATACATTACTATTTTTGTTCATTATTTTCACATTGTTTTTATTTTCTCTTTGAAAAACATTTGGCTTGAATAAAGGACTGATTCCAAATTCTGACTTGTTAGATAAACAAGTAAACGTAGCTACTTTGACTCGTTAGATAGGTATACAACAAGTAAACGTCTGACTCGTTAGCTAGGTATACAACAAGTAAACGTAGCTACTATGACTCGTTGGATAGGCTCACAACAAGTAAATGTAGCTACTATGACTCGTTGGATAGGATCACAACAAGTAAACGTAGCTACTATGACTCGTTGGATAGGCTCACAACAAGTAAATGTAGCTACTATGACTCGTTGGATAGGCTCACAACAAGTAAACGTAGCTACTATGACTCGTTGGATAGGTACACAACAAGTAAACGTAGCTACTATGACTCATTGGATAGGATCACAACAAGTAAACGTAGCTACTATGACTCATTGGATAGGATCACAACAAGTAAACGTAGCTACTATGACTCATTAGATAGGATCACAACAAGTAAACGTAGCCACTCTGACTGGTTAGATAGGTACTCTAACATACCAGTTATTTTTCTAATTGTCTGAATCTTGAATTCCCAACGTTGTGCATGAACCATTTCTTTATAATAGAACATAGTTTTAAATAAGAGTACTCTCCTTACAACAAGAACAAGACTTTCATTAGGATCTTGAATTCCCAACGTTGTGCATGAACCATTTCTTTATAATAGAACACGATTTTAAATAAGAGTACTTTCCTCACAACAAGAACAAGACTTTCATTAGGACCGTACGTGATGGTTTGATTATATCTTTGTTGGTGTAGTTTTGAACATAAATTTTTAAATAAACTATTATTTTTTCAATTAACGGTAACAATTTTAATATAGAAAAACATTACACTTTATATGAGTAAAAGTTATGAAAATTTTGAGCTCTGTATATTAAATCATTTTGATGCAATGAATTGCGTCTGACGAAAGAGTACAATCCGAACACTTTTCCTGTGCAGTACTTCCCAGAAAAATCACTTTTTCTAATTGTTTTTCAATGAGGTGTGAAAACAACGATTACTCATTACTAGCAGAAACCGTTTCTGCTGGTATAAAATAATCGAGAAATACAAACAATATTGTTCGAGAATCTCATGACGTGTTACTAGTGTCACGTGACTTCCGCTGTCGTAACAATATTGTTCAAACCTGAAAAGGTTTAGTATAATTTCACGTTGGCTGCTAATGTTTCATTTTTTTTTGCACGAACTTATCCAAGTCTATGATTTTTATTCAGTAGACACAGGTAAAGGAAACATTTACATCAGATCATAAATTAATAAATTATTTGGTGAAATTATAGCTTAGTTGACTTTCAAGCAAATAATTATGTAGGTGTGAATTTAAACAACCATTCAGACGAAGATAATTATTGATGAGGAAATTATAAATTATTTAACTAATTAATTAATCACACGAAGAGCATGAATTATTTAATGCTAATAATAAAGAAAAGAATGATAATAATTTCGATATCGCAATATTTCATAACTATTTAGATTTGAATAATATTTCATATTTGTTTGTTTCAGAATTTTCGAGCAAAGCCAGACAAAAAGTTACCCACGTTTAACCGTTCCGAACTTTAAACTGACAGAGTGCAAGTAGCTAGTCAATAGCACCAAATCTCGGTTTACTATAATCGCATAGTGGAGATTTGACTGTCACCTTTATAACATACCTACGAACCCGAAATTGCGAGGCGCGTTTTTATGTTAATGAGACCGGATTATGAACCCTTCAGTTTACAGTTGGAGAAGGTTAATCGTTAGGCCTAACAGTACACAACCAACCACATAGATTTCGAAGATTATCAACATAGCTTACTTTAAACAGTTTATAATCAACAGTTTATTAAACCTCTACATTTAAATAAACAAGATAGTAAACCCTTATTATCTCTTTCAAAACTTTCTGCAAGCAAAAGAAATGTTTTCAAGGACAATAATATTTTTTTCTAATATACAAAATGTAAGGTTTCTTGGCTTAAATGTTCCTAAGGTCACTCATCTGTTTTTTGTTTATTTCTATAATTGAATCAAGAAACCTTAGAGACAGTGCTTACAGTGCTTCCCTCTACGTAACTTTCCTTTCACAAACCAAAAAGACATATAGTTTAAGTATTAGCCATACACTACACGTGTTCCTACATTTACTAAAACTGCAAAAAAAGTTGAAATTAATGCGTTTTGAACAGTTAAATGTTAATAACTGTTCATATTTTCTGTTGCTTGTTCATAAGCTGGTTGGTTTTGGAATTTCGCTAGCCGACCTTAATTTAGAAGTGATAGACCAGAGGGAAGGCAGCTAGTCAACACCACGTTAACTGTGGGACGACTCTTTTACTAAAGAAAAGTGGGATTGATCATTACATTATAACGCTTCCACGGCTAAAAGGGGCACGTTTGGTGACGGGATTCGAACTTACCACTCGTAGATTATAGAATCGCCAATCTTCCAGACCATTGTTGTTTATTACGTTGTAAGGACTTATATAATAATGTCACGATAGGCCAATCTTCCAGACCATTGTTGTTTATTACGTTGTAAGGAGATATATATACTTATGTCATGATATGCCAATCTTCCAGACCATTTTTGCAAGGATATATATATATCACGTTGAAAGGAGATATATACTAATGTCATGATAGGCCAATCTTCCAGACCATCGTGTTTATTACGTTGTGAGGACTTATATAATAATGTTACGATAGGCCAATCTTCCAAACCATTGTGTTTATTACGTTGTCAGGAGATGTATACTTATGTCATGATAGGCCCATCTTCCAGACCATTGTTGTTTATTACGTTGTAAAGAGATATATACTAATGTCATGATAGGTCAATCTTCCAGACCATTGTTGTAAGTAGATATATACTAATGTCATGATAGGCCAATCTTCCAGACCATTGTTGTTTATTGCGTTGTAAGGAGATATATATACTTATGTCATGATAGACCAATCTTCCAGACCATTTTTGTAAGTAGATATATACTTATGTCATGATAAGCCAATCTTCCAGACCATTGTTGTAAAGAGATGTATACTTATGTCATGATAAGCCAATCTTCCAGACCATTGTTGTAAAGAGATATATACTTATGTCATGACAGGCCAATCTTCCAGACCATTGTTGTAAGTAGATATATACTAATGTCATGATAGGCCAATCTTCCAGATCATTGTGTTTATTACGTTGTGAGGAGATATATATACTTATGTCATGATAGACCAATCTTCCAGACCATTGTTGTAAGTTGATATATACTTATGTCATGATAAGCCAATCTTTCAGACCATTGTTGTAAAGAGATATATACTTATGTCATGATAGGCCAATCTTCCAGCCCATTGTTGTTTATTACGTTGTAAAGAGATATATACTAATGTTACGATAGGCCAATCTTCCAGATCATTGTGTTTATTACGTTGAAAGGAGATATATACTAATGTCATGATAGGCCAATCTTCCAGACCATTGTTGTAAAGAGATATATACTTATGTCATGATAAGCCAATCTTCCAGATCATTGTGTTTATTACGTTGTAAGGAGAGATATATACTTATGTCATGATAAGCCAATCTTCCAGATCATTGTGTTTATTACGTTGTAAGGAGAGATATATACTTGTCATGATAAGCCAATCTTCCAGATCATTGTGTTTATTACGTTGTAAGGAGAGATATATACTTGTCATGATTAGCCAATCTTCCAGATCATTGTGTTTATTACGTTGAAAGGATATACATATTTATGTCATGATAGGCCAATCTTCCAGATCATTGTGTTTATTACGTTGAAAGGAGATATATACTTATGTCATGATTAGCCAATCTTCCAGATCATTGTGTTTATTACGTTGAAAGGATATACATATATACTTGTCATGATAGGCCAATCTTCCAGATCATTGTGTTTATTACGTTGAAAGGAGATATATACTTATGTCATGATTAGCCAATCTTCCAGATCATTGTGTTTATTACGTTGAAAGGAGATATATACTTATGTCATGATTAGCCAATCTTCCAGATCATTGTGTTTATTACGTTGAAAGGAGATATATACTTATGTCATGATTAGCCAATCTTCCAGATCATTGTGTTTATTACGTTGAAAGGAGATATATACTTATGTCATGATTAGCCAATCTTCCAGATCATTGTGTTTATTACGTTGAAAGGATATACATATTTATGTCATGATAGGCCAATCTTCCAGATCATTGTGTTTATTACGTTGAAAGGATATATATATTTATGTCATGATAGGCCAATCTTCCAAATCATTGTGTTTATTACGATGAAAGGAGATATATACTAATGTCATGATAGGCCAATCTTCCAGACCATCGTTGTAAAGAGACATATACTTATGTTATGATAGGCCAATCTTCCGGACCATCGTGTTTATTACGTTGTTGAGGAGTATATACTTATGTCATAATGGGGATCTAGCTTCTCTGGTAACAAACTGTGATAAAATGGAGTTTCTATCCTAACTTTTCTAGAAATCTGAGGCTAGTTTAGTGAGTCTCATCTTAACCGAGGCATATTGGTGACTATCCAAACTTACATAAGGGGTGTAGGTTGGTAGGTGAAACGAAATGTGTAGTGTACAGTAAGGAGTGTCTATGGAATGTATTGCCTGACATTTTATCATATTCCTTTAGTGTTCTAATGAAAACTATGTACAAGAGTAGTAGCCTAGAAATGTTTCACATGAAACATACATATTTCCAGATTCCTGTTTTTCCGATTGCTAGCCACATTGAGAGAGAACGTGGTTTTGATATTTTTCGCAAGAGGTTCCTTCTGACCTCTGAGAAGAACAAACGTATTTCTATTCCTTCAGTTGTTCATTTAATAAAACTTCAGTACTTATGTTCCTTCAGTTAGTAAAGCTGTTCTTCCAGTTCTTCAGTTAGTAAAGCTGTTCCTCAGTTCTTCAGTTAGTAAAGCTGTTCCTCCAGTTCTTCAGTTAGTAAAGCTGTTCCTCCAGTTCTTCAGTTAGTAAAGCTGTTCCTCCAGTTCTTCAGTTAGTAAAGCTACAAACTTCAACACCGTGACTTGTCTACTCCATCTACCTGTATTACATATGAAATCCACGTACCTATCCTAACGAGGTCAAAAGCTTGATATATCCTAATTACAAGAACTTGATATCCCAATGATTACAAAAGTTTGATATATCTTAATGATGACAAGAGGATGATATATCCTAATGATGACATGTTTGCTATAACCTAATGATGACAAGAACTTGATATATCCTAGTGAAGACAGTAGTTTGATATATTTTAATGATAACAAGAGTTTGATGTGTTGATGATGACAAGAGTTTGATATCTTCATGATGATAAGTTTGGTATGCCAATAATTGTATGTTCATTATATTCTTATTCTTTGATTCACACTCTTTTTACATGTATGTAATTTAAGGACTGACTTAAGACATGGCAACTTAAGTAAAAAATATACAGTGCTGTGACAAGTGATTACTGAACTACTCGTCAAAACATAATCCAGTGAATTTCTTTATTAGTGTTTCAACATACAGATGGACAAGACACAGAACTCAAAAATCAACATAAAATTACAGATTTAGAGTGTGCTTGTGAGTAGATTCTTACAAAATGAATTATATAATAATAATACTTTCTGTATTGGACTGATCACTTACGCAAGTGGAAAACATAAAACGAACAGAAATTTTACAGTTTAGGAAGCATTTGCTTGGAGGAAACTCCGTGCTTACGAATAATCAATACGGAAATTCAGAAACCGAGATATATATAAGAAACTTGGTAGAATACTGGACTGTTTGCTGTTCATTGTCAACAGACACAGCATTAACCTTCATACGATAATCTTGACTTGAATCCAAGGCTTGAAGCGTATACAGGACACCTCTACCTTCTTCCAGTCGAATTCGGAAGGGAATACCAGTTTCATTTTCAATGATTGTAAAAATAGTATTGGGTAGATGGACACCACTATGGTCGTATGCTGAAAGACGAACTAAGTCTTGATAAGCTTGAATACCACTAGGTAGCGCCACCATCTTAAAAGCCAAAACCTCAGCATACTTGGAGTTGGGTGGACAAGCAATGTTAGCTTTCTCACATTCAAGTCGACAGAATCTGTAATACACAGTGTATAAACACTATACTTCAACAATCTATAAGAAAACAATATTTCATAGACAGTGTGTAAACACTACACTTCAACAATCTATAAGAAAACAATATTTCATAGACAGTGTGTAAATATATACCCTAACAATCTATAAGAAAACAATATTTCATAGACAGTGTGTAAACACTATTTCAAACAGTCTGTAAATAAACAATATTTCATTCACTAAGTGACTGAGATAGGTGTCTTATATGAACCCTGTGTTAGAGGTATGTGTTTTATATAATCACTGTGATAAAGGTAGGTGTTTTATATAATCACTGTGATAAAGGTAGGTGTTTTATATAATCACTGTGATAAAGGTAGGTGTTTTATATAATCACTGCAATAAAGGTAGGTGTTTTATATAATCACTGTGATAAAGGTAGGTGTTTTATATAATCACTGTGATAAAGGTAGGTGTTTTATATAATCACTGTGATAAAGGTAGGTGTTTTATATAATCACTGTGATAAAGGTAGGTGTTTTATATAATCACTGTGATAAAGGTAGGTGTTTTATATAATCACTGTGATAAACGTAGGTGTTTTATATAATCTCTTTCAGTTGCACATCATACAAGCTTTGTTTTATAAATTCTGGTTTAAACCTTGACAGTTGTCGAAGCATCAGAAACCAACAAATGCAACATTTATAATAAAAAACCACGTGACTTGTGAGAGACAATAGAACAGAAGGTAAATATAGAATCTGAAATGGTCAAATTGAGGGAATGTAAACAAAAATATCTGAAGTTTACATTTTTACAACAAATGTTCAGTACATTTACCCTGTTGCACTTTTTTAACAACAAATGTTCAGTACATTTACTCTGTTGTAGGATTTTTACAACAAATGTTCAGTACATTTGCCCTGTTGTAAGATTTTTATGACAAATGTTCAGTATACTAACCCTGTTGTAGGATCTCGATCATAATTTGGAGGACAAGGTGTTTCTACACACTCAAATTTTCCCCTGGTGTTGAAACACATCATGTCAGGTCCACAATCAATATTATGCTCAGCACATTCATCAATATCTGTGGGAAAATACAAACAAACTTTATTATTAAATGACGTCTTTGCTAGGTTTCTATTTATGTCACATTTATTCTTCCAAAGTTAGTAACAAAACAAAAATGAAATCCAAAACTACCTGGAGTTTCACACATTTGTAAAATATATAAGAAAGTTTGAAAATGTGGTTTAATGACTGACCTGGCTAGTGCTGTTACACTTCATGACTGACATGGCTAGTGCTGCTATACTTCATGACTGACCTGACTAGTGCTGCTACACTTTATGACTGACATGGCTAGTGCTGCTATACTTCATGACTGACCTGACTAGTGCTGCTACACTTTATGACTGACATGGCTAGTGCTGCTATACTTCATGACTGACCTGACTAGTGCTGCTACACTTTATGACTGACAT